GGGGAAAAGAAGAACAAAAAATATAGCGAAAAATGCAACAAAAATGGTACAAACACCGCGCATAATGGAGTTGGGGCGCGCGAGACGGGATGGGAAAGCTGGGCCAGACTGAAACACACGCGGGCTGTGTTCGGGCTTCACGGGTTGGCGTCTGTTAGGGCGCGGGCTCACTGCGGGCCTCAAAGCCCGCGCACTTGATCAAAAAAAAAGCTGTTGTTGCTTCGCAAGGAAGTGGACCCGTGACCTCGTGCACGGGACAACGCCTACACGACCACTGCGCTATACGCTCAGTTGCCAATATGGACCTGGGCGCGCATGCTTAAGAACGTGGGAGAATGGATTTCTGGGCGGACAAAAGCTGGAAGACTGGACATGCGCGCGAGAAAAAGAATAGCACCTGGCGCCATAATTGGTGGACTCCGGAAATATTTCTCACAAGTTGAACGTATGTATATATTCGACGGGATACAAATAACAACCTTCAAATCTTCTATTGTATGACCTTTACATGATCTCTAATAAATCTTGGTGGAGCGATTTATTAGATTTCCCAAAACCTCTTGATCATCTTCTTCTAAGACCTTACGGTGCAAACCGATATTTCTTTCGAAGAAGAATCTCTCTCTTTCTTTCTCGCTTGAAGAGGCCGAATTTCTCCAGCCCTTTGGGGAGAAAAACGTGTAAAGCTTGTTCAAGAGGTTAGGAGACCTAGTGTACTTATAGGCTACAATAGGGACCTAAAGGAGGTGCTAAATATGGGCTTATTCCTTAAGGTTTAGGAATCCTTATTATCTTCCATCTTCTTTTTCCATCTAGGATAATATTCCTAATAATTAATTACCTTCTAGAGAACTCCATAGTCTCCTAACCCTAGGTAATATTCTAGAAGGAATATTCCCATCCTTAGGGAATTATGGAATATAATTAATTCCTAATTCCTAATCTTGGAATTAAATAATAAAACATTCCACTAGAGTAATATTATTGTTCTCCTCATTTAGCTCCGAATTACAATTAATTCGTTTCCACTGATTAAATATATTA